AAAAAAAAAAAAAAGAAATGTATCCTTCTTAGTAAAGTATCACAAGAATGGAAAAGTAAATATCCAATGTACTTGATGAACCCAATGAAGCCAGCAGATGAACTAATAAATGCCTACACAAGAGAAAAACTCAGTTCAATGCAGTTTGAGGGGAGAGGAGAGGAGGAAAAGGGGAGTCAGAGAAGGAAGGAGGGTGGTCAGTGTGTTCTCACCAAATGGGCACAATGTAAGGGTATATGGCACATCTCCTGGGTTCAGGACACAATTACAACAGGGACCTTACCTAACAAACACAAACCCTGTAACCTAACAGTTTGTACCCTCATATTAATCTGAAAGAAAAAATAGTGGGAAAAAAAGATTTGAATACAGGTGCACACATCCTGTTAGTAACTGTTATTTAAAACCATATATAAAACATTTTTCTCTGTGTTTATATGTATTAGTTTTTCAAATGACTTCTAAATTGTTAAGATACAAATACTACATTTTTTGAACCTAATTTCTACGAACTAATGAAAACTAGGGAACTGTGAAAAATTACTTAGACTGAAAGTGCTCCATGAAGCAAGTTTGGGAATCTTTGCCTTAATCAAGAAGTAATAGGTTAGTCCTAGAATTACAGAGGAAATCTGTGTAGCCCTGAGGAAATAACTTAAAACAAAAATTATAAAATAAACATAATAACCAGGAAAAGAAGAATTTGGGTTAAAACAGTTTTTAAAGGTCACTGTATCAGCTTGATCCTTCAAATCCCCTACAATGCCCCCTGGATAATTTGTATTTTAAAAAACCTTTTAAAACTCATGCCTGCAAATTACCGGTATTCCAATTCCAGGGATTCAAGTAAGCTTTTAAAATTACAGCCTTAAAGCTATGTTGGGAGACTGGGCTTTCCCTACACAGACAAAACGCATCATTGGAGTTTGTGCCAGGCAGACAGGCGAGAAGCTGTAAAGAGAATGGGAGATCCAAGCACTTTGAGACTTTTCAGCTTTTTTGTGGGTTGTTTATTACCTTCAATATTCTGCTTTTAATTTCAACAGAATGTTCTTTAAAAAAAAAGGAGGAGGAAAGGAAAGAAAGACTGCTCCAGATTCTTGTAGAAATGCTTGTTTGAAAACTTCCTTTCCTCAGAGTTTCTCATGTTAGTGAGGGGAGATTTAACATAAAATCCAGACTAACAGTCCCTGGACGTTGCAGGGAGAAAGAGTGGATGGCCATGGAGAGGGGCACTCAGGGGCTCAGAGAGCCAGGGATGTTCTGGTTCCTTAGCTGGTGTGTTTTGCTGTTATCCTTTCTTTTGTTTGCTTATTTTTGAGACTGAATCTCACTATGTCACCCTCCATAGAGTGCTGTAACATCACAGCTCACAGCAACCTCAAACTCTTAGGCTCATGCAATCCTCTTGACTCAGCCTCCCCAAGGCTCATGCAATCCCCTTGAATCAGCCTCCCCAGTAGCTGTGACTACAGGCACCCGCCACACCACCGGGCTATTTTTTAGAGAAGGGTCTCACTTTTGCTCACCTGGGTCTGGAACTCCTGAGCTCAGGTGCTCCATCCGCCTCACCCTCCCAGGGTGCTGGGATTATAGGCGTGAGCCACCACGCCCGGACTATGTTGTTATTCTTTAAATTATATCTTTAAGGTTGATACTTGTCTGAGGGTATGATAAACTTCACAGCGGTGCACCCAGAATCTCCACGTGGGAGGGAGGACGGGCCTTGAGAGTTTCCAGTGTACCCTGTCCCTCAGCTGGGCTAGGTCACCAGGCAGTCTGCTTCCATTTGGAGCACAGGCTTCTCTGCAGCCTTTGGAGAGGCTGATAAGGTTGATTTTTGGTGCCACTGCTTTCTATCTCCGAATACTGCAATTAGTTCTCTTCTTGTCCCTTTAATTCCTCTTTATCCCTTTCTAACCTCCCCAAGGATCTCCCCTCCCCCCTTATGACATAGAGAGCAGAAAACTCTTCCAATTTTAATTTGTATTTATAATTTCAAAAAATTCTTTGTTATCATATGCTAAGCACACACTAGGGATAAATGAGGAAGTTTTAGATGTGTAAGTCTAGACACACCTGTACATGCACGAAGGACAGGTTTGCTGTTGCAGTTTTAAGGATGAGAGACGTCGGGCAGCTCAGTCACTGCACCAGGGGACCACCCTGTCTTCACTGCCCAGGTGCTTTCGGCTCACACTGGCCTAACACATACTACCTAAGCACAAATGATTGTCACTATCCAACCGGATCACAAAAAGGATGCCTAAATACATAGACGCACCGTGCCAAGTGTCTTACTTGCATCGTTTCACTGAATTTCCACCATACTATGAGGTTATGTATAATATAATACCTGAAGTTTACAGTGCTAAAACTGAGGTTTAAAGAAGTGGGTTTTCCAAAGCCACACACACTTAACAAGTGGTGGCTTCCCAACTCAAATCTCAGGCCCGAATATGGATTGTTTTACTACCGCGTAAACCATCTCACTATCCTCAGGGAAAACATCCTGGACCACTTTACAAAATCCAAGTCCCGCTTGGGTCACAAATAGTGATCCACTTCCCCTTCCGTCCCCCAGATCGACCGGAAACGCCACACTTAAATCCCCCAGATCAAGGTCGGTGAGCTGACGTCGGAACCCAAATCAGACACGCGCTGGCTCCTCACACTTCTCAGACAGAGACGGACTGCGGCGGGGTCGCGCTCGTCCCGGGGTGGGGGAATCCTCTCGGCGCCGCGCCCCTTGGCCGCCCTCCGAGGCGGGGACCGCGGGGG